CTTCATCAACTTACATGAAATAGGGTGAAAATAGCTATTATAAAAATAGGGGCTCAAATCGCCTGCAACAGGAAGCATATCTTCCTCGGATGGAGTGGAGTCCTAGTTTTCTTTTCATAAATAAGTTTTTAAAGTCCTACTGAGGAAAACAATCATCATCCTATCTTGCAGTATAAGCTGCTTCCGATTTACAAATTAAAGTAGCTGATAAAGCAGGACAATAAACTAAACTCTATAATCCAACAATGGTTAAGTACCGGTGGATGTTGCAATATACAAACGTTCAGCTAGTCGCTCCGAAAAGAAAGCCACATTAATAGCAGACTTTTGTTTAACAGGATTGGGTATTGTTTTATAAACAAGTGGTTGGCGGAAAATTTCCTATTTGCAAACTTGAATTTATATTTTGTCAAAGTACCAATCTATAATCTGAGATGATTTAAACATTTGCTCTATAAAGATAGCTGCCCACAATGTCTCTATGCTTTCTATTAAGAAAACACATAGCTTAGGGTCTGGATAGTGAAAGAGGAAATCTTCTGCTATTGCATTTTATGTAAGAATAAGGCAAAAAGTAGGCTAGTATTTGCTTTTCCGGTTCAGATTGCTTTCATACTCAGCGTAATACCCGCATGACTCGGCACAAACAGGCTACGAAGCAAGTTAATTCGTTCATGGATTGGAGGCTTAATATTTGCAGCTGATGCGAGTGAGCAGTACATGCAATATCAGAATCCCTTCATAACATTTTCATGATCTCGTCTGACGTCTTAACGTGGTCGACAAGGTCACAACTAACCGAGTCACCATGGCAACCTAAGCTAGATAGCAAGCTGAAAAACATCGCCGTTTGAGAAGATAACACTAGTCTAATATACATCTATCGCTTGAAAGTCATGGTGGTGAGCCATGCTAACTTTTGAAAAGAAATTCAACGTTATCTAGAAAACTAGATCTTAAATATTTATGCCTAGCTGCCTAAGCATGCCAGAAACACGTTTAGGCTTATATCATTTTATCCAAAATAATTTTATGCATCTCATATAATCTCGTAGCCGGACAACTTTCACCGATACAGGCAAAATATGAACCGGAAGAGAATATATTTTTATGGAGTTCGGTTGGATAAAGTGAGACAGCCCAATCAAGCATTAGCCTTGAGGAATCGTAAACAGATTAGTCACGGACTTATGCATCGTGGGTCTGCTTGAAAGAGGCAATTTCTGCTGAAGCAAAAGAAGTCCTGGCTAAGGGCCAAAACAATAATCAGAATGAGTGTGGAGTGACGTTAACTCGTGTGATCTTGCTGAAAGGAAGAGGCTAGACAGAAAGATGATGAGATTCCAAAGGTTTTCAACTGCACAAGACTCTAAGAATACACCGATAAGGATTGTTTTTAGCGGAAATATTCATCATGTACAAGTCGGCTATGCTGTAACGAATAAATGACTTATTAAATTGGTTTGCCGATCCCAAAATGAGTATTTTTGCTGCCTAGCAAGAAAACTGCTTCCGGCCGGCTGAGATCGTCGTTTCCACCCTCCCAGGAGAAAAAAGTACATTTCTAGAAGGCTCTCTACGTGAGTAGCTGATATAACTATCGGTGAAAATGAGCCAGTTAGCCTCATCCCAAAAAGAAATTAACATTTGCACTACTTACATATAAGTGAGTAGTAGACTCCGCATTTGGTGTGGGCTAGCATGGCATAGTTTTAGGTATGCATAAATGTGTCTAAAATGGCCATTTTCTATTGGAGAAGGTTATTTACTTTAGAGTGAAGATTTTGAGTCGAATTTGAACTGTATCCACGAGATACAAAAAAAAGACCGAGTAAATGCCATAAAATATTATAATTTCTTTCAAGGATAACTTTGTTAGACGAAGTAAGGTATAAACTCTTGTGGATTTGAACAAAAAAAAGATTAATGAAGTACTCTGTATGTACATCTTCTCAATGGGGGGGAAAAGACAGGAACGTTGTTCTCTACGCATTTGGAGATATTTACAGGCATATGCTTTATGCTTTTGCTCTGGCTATTTACAAGATTATCTGATGGGGTCTAGGGATTTCTTGGTATTTTGCTAAACGCATTGATTGTTGAGTCAGCTGAGATGGTGTGGACTGTGGCCCAGAGAGCCAGCACTACAGTCGGAGCCACCGGAAGAGGTTCTTGATGTGGAGCCACTGCTCAAATGGAAGGGGATTGGCTGAACACTGGCCTGAAGTAGGCCCAGGGAGTAGTTCTGCGGACTGCCTCCGCTCATTAGGCTCGACTTGAACGCCGTGCCCGAGACTGGAGTGCTGGCCGTAAGGACGCCAGTCGCCCCAACCGCCAGACCCAGCAGGCTTGTCTGCGAATGAGGCTGGAGTTGGTGTTGGTGGTGCTGCGAGTGTTGGTGCGACGGGTGTACAAGTGCATGGGTGGACAGTTGTTGCGGCTCCATGTAGACGCTTTGTAGACCCTCCAATTGCTGATGCATTTGATGGTGGTGCTGGTGTTGGTGCTGGTGGTGTTGGTGCTGGTGCTGGTGAGGATGACCCGCAGCCTGACATGATGGAGTGGTCTGGCTGGCGTAGAGTGTTGCTGCTGATAGGTCGTAGAATTGATGTCCCGCATAGCCACTTGACGCGTCACCGGCGAACGAAGAGATCTCAGTGAAGACACCAGCGTCCAGTTGACTGGGCGATCCGGAGACAAGGCCGAGCGGACCTGTGGGGCTGGAGTGCTGTGAATGGCCATTGGGTGTGTGCAGCTGGTCTATGAAACCGCTGGTCGAGAGGTCGGTTTGCCCAGGACCGGTGTCCATCGAGGTGGTGCCCAGGCCACTCGTCAGCCCGACAGAGCCCACTCCACCACCAACTTCTACCTCTTCCTCTTCTTCCTCTTCTTCTTCTTCCTCTTCTTCCTCCTCTTCCTCCTCCTCCTCCTCCTCCTCCTCCTCTGCCTCGTGTAGCTCTCCGTGCTCTTCGCCATCGGAGCCGAGAAGTGTGAGGTTGTTTAGTCTGTTGGAGCCGGGCGACAGGAAGAGGTCGTCTACTGCCGTCTTTGGAAGAAGATTCATGCCACCAAATAGTACAGCATTTGGAGCCACTTTATCCGCAGACCTCAGATGGACGGTATCAGTGCCATCCTCGTCTTCACATTCCTCTTCTTCCTCGTCCTCCTCCTCTTCGTCGTCCTCCTCCTCTTCGTCGTCGTCGTCCTCCAGTTGACTTTCTCCCTCTTTTGTCAGCGTTGTGTCTCGTTTGTCTACGTGTGGGGCTGCATCCTCTCTGAGACTGTAGGCCTCTGTATGCTCGCCAACCATGAGCTCCGGCACAAAGACCCCGGGGGAGAGATAGCCTCGGGCTAGCGTAGGTGAGCTTGCGCTTAGATACTCGGATCGGCCGTCAACAAGCGATGGCCGGAGGTCTGTAGTGCCGGTTTGGTAGAAATAGGGCGGACAATGCGACCTGGCCTGCTCTACGGCCGGAGTCTTGCTGGGGACGGGAGTGACGCTGGGACTGGAGGTGGTGATGGTGCATGTGGAGACGGCGGTCGCGGACGAATTGTATGAGGAGCAGGAAGAGGACGACGATGAAGAGGAAGAGGAAGCGGAGGATGAAGTAGAGGCAGGGGCCAGTACCACGGCTGGACTGAGGCTGGAGGCCGTGGCAGAAGTGGCGCAAATGGCGGAAATGGCGCAGGTCTGCCCAAGCAAACTGTTGCTACAGGTTGTGATGCTGTTGGCAGTCGTGACCGGGGCATGGCTCGACTTCGTATGGACGCTGGCGGAGCTCACGTTGGGCGTGGTGGGGTTTGCGTCCACAGCCACTCGTAGGAAAGAGGAGACAGAAGAGCTGGCAGCGGTGGTGTGTGATGTGAAGCACAGTTCGTCTTCATGTTCACGCAGATAGTGCCGTTCATTCAGGGCGTATCCATCCCCTGGTGAGGAGAACACAGGCGTCGGGCTTAGCTCGGCGCTCGTTATAGGTGCTGGAACAAAATGGAATATTATATTACTTATATTCATATAAAGTAGGCATCGAAACTATTGCCAATGCTTAAATAAGTTCTTGGTTATCTCATTTGATTTTCTAAAATTTCGCCCTACAAGCCTTAATCGCAAATATGATGACCAGGAGGGTGTAACCTCTAATTCTTTTACTGTATAGAAGAGGTATGACTTGGTCGTGTGTCAGGGCGCCTTGATGAACACGCATTATAATGTTCAGCGTTATACCATGGACTTAGTATACTCCCAGCAACAACAAGCTGTTTGTCTATTTGACACGTTGTAACTTGGTGTGAATTTAACATGTACATTGCCAGAAGCTATGGGTTATCATGCCTAATCTGGAAGAGGGCTTTGCATAGGTGAGTTTACCTAGATCCCTCTGACAGCACAACCAAGTTGCGAAAACGAGGGAAAACCATTTCTATCACGATTTAGGTTGACTAGGTGCTTATTCAAGCATTACTGACTGTCTATAAAAACAGCAGCATACAGAAAATTTAATATTCGCTATCAGTATGCTTCACAATTAATAATTATTTTACAATGATCTACCTTTGCTAAACAAGCCCATGCAAAATTCAATGGAAACGTAAGTTCTACTAATATAATTGTGGGAAAATTCAACTACCAGTCCTTCATCATCTTAACTGGAATAGATTGAACATATCTCATATTTTTGAGTTTTCATCTAATCGCCCTTGGTTGTGTCGAATTGGTTAAGGACTGTTGATTGAGTTCCGAGATGATAAAAGGACTACTCCACTCAACTGTACAATCTTGTGGCCCACTGATATGAAAAATAAATAACGTCGTCGATTGAAATAGCAAATACATGATTGCCACAAATGTGATTTAGGAGAAGTCTGGCATGCTTCGAATGCCAGAGTTGCCCTGTGATCCAGTGACATCCATGACTGCGTAATGGAGTGCTAATGTTGCCATGATAATAAAAATCAGGTATTAAATCCATTTGGAGTTCAACGAGGCCTTGACGAGGTCGAAACAGTCTTTGGGAGTTAAGGGCAACTGGGCCACATTTATTTGGTATATGCAAAAATAATGCAGGTTTCGAAGAATCTTCTGAGATAAGATTGTTGTTAAGACTTTCATTTAGTATGTAACTGCATGATCAAGAGATTCTTAGGCCAATCTTACAATAATACGCCGGCTGATTCACGTTGTAATGCAGCCGTGTAGCCTTAATAAGAAGTTAAAGTTGAAGCAATCCAAGAGGCATACTCTGACGTTTCAAACACTCTCATAAGAAATGAAAGTCTTGGCAAACTATTTATTTTACTGTGGGAAAGCTCACCCAACGATCTCTAATACGCCCTAAACTACCAGGGGTAAATGAATTCCTGTTTAAATAAAGCTACTACTAAATACTACTCATATACTACTTAAAAATTAGGAGCCTTCAAAACCAGTAGACTTACCGGGAAAAAGGGGTTCTGGGCTGACGGTCTTGCCAGTCACGCGTGCCTTCTTGACAGCAGGCACCATAATATGGCTTAAACGTGCCTGGAGTCCCGCTTGGCTGGTCGGTGAGGCTGGAATGAGGCTGAAGCCGGCCTCAGATTCGCAGTGTACCGATCCCGACGCGACCCTAGTCAACTGGGTACCATGATGTCTGTTCTGTTGCTGTGCCTGACAGGTAACGGCGGATAGATGAGACTGTGGAGGAGGCGGAGGAGGAGGAGGAGGTGCATGAAGAGACGATAGATGAAGCTGCTGTGACTGCTGTAGATTGGACGGTTGGAAGTTTGTGCGCTGGGAATAGCCGAAGCCGGATCCTCTCGAGTTGGAAGCGGCTCGGTTGATACAGCCAGTCTGAGACAGTGGAGTCTGGCAGACGGCAAAGCCGGCTACTGAACGCTTTCGGGCGCCAGTGTGTGCTTGTCCCTTGCAGGTGAGAACAGAGTCACGTGGCTTGGCCGACTTGACAACACTTGCCTGAGGAGTGTTGATGTGCGTCTGTTGCGACTGATAGGCTGCCGCCTGAACAGACTGGTCCGCAGGCATCTGTAGCTGAGACGATGGCATCATACTTTGCTGGCTTTGTTGATGTTGAGGCGGTTGATGCTGTGGTTGTTGCTGGTGATGTTGATGCTGTTGTTGCAGCTGTTGTTGTTGAAGCTGGCGACGTCGGCGAGCGGCGGTATTGCGGATCGGCTTAAGGTCTGGCCGGGCGTGGTCATGGTTACCCTTGGCCTGAAAGAATACCAGTTCGCCACACTCTCGCCAAAAATGGGTTACCGGATAACCACCGTGACCGCGGCAATTTTGAATGTGGATCTTGCCGCTACAATTGGGTCGAGGGCATGGTCTGCCTGTAGGGTTGGAGAAAAGCCAAGGAAAATGCAACTATTAACCGGTTTGCCCTATTTTGTGGTGTTAAAATTGAATAAAATTGGATGAAATTGTTTATTTCGTAAGCCGCTTTGTTGCTATTCAATCAAGTTTCGAAGCAAATATCTGAAGCCAACTCACCAGGTTATAGATAACACTTTGCTTTGATGGAATGTCACGCTTTATGCATTTAGGCGCCAAAGTACGAATTATGCCATCACAATCATGAGTGTCATAGGGACAAAAATAATATGTTATTAACCCTTAATGATCTTAAAACGAAAGTTTATTCTTGTGACATGATTTTCTATTCCAAAGGAAAAGTTAGTTTGAAATAGACGAGGATTCCTTGCATGTGCTCAGATATTTGACAGAATAGGGTGAACCAAAGATTTGTTAAGAAGCAAATGACTTTGTCAATCTATTAAGTACTATTTCGGTGTTAAGACTGACTTCATTCAACAGTCTGGAAACGTAACCATTCCGAAGAAGGCACGGGAGCGCAGTACAGATGATGTTGCTCAAAGTGGCCCTGTTGTGAATATAGGGTAAAGTCAACTTTTCTCTTCAGCCTTACTTTCATGATTGGCCTCCATCACTAACCTAAACGCTTTTCTGCTTTACTCTAGAGGCACTAAGTCAAGCTTGGCCCCAGTGATTTCCGCTGGGAGGTCGAGGTCTATGTGGGTATGTATGTAGGTGTGCGTGTGTGCTCAATATGAGCTAGAGACGCATGTCAACAGGATAGGCTGTAGAAAGCATGTAGACTGAGAAAGAGATTCTAATAATTAAAACTATCGGCCAAATATACTGGTAACATGTCATGTAGATTGTGTGATCTGATCGGCCCTGATTTCCTAGTTAACAGGTGATTAGTGACCCCGATCATTGCAAAAAGGGGACCGACAAGCATCGGAAATTCTGTCTGCCATCTACAACATAGTCTTCGCCTATCACACTCTACCGATCGACTC